CATGAAAAATACTATCATTTGTAACTTTTAAAAAGTTAAATGCACCTTTTCATGCATAGGCAAGGTGACATGTATGTAAATATTGATGTTTAGGTGTTAGATATGCAAATACATAGGAATTGAGTTGTATGTATGTAAATCTTCCTATATTCTAGATTTCTGTTTAACATAAATGAAAGGCTAAAGGTTTAGTTTGCCATCAAAGAATGATATTGGTAATACATTTGGCTGGAATTGCATGCATTCTTATATTCTCATAATTCTGCTTCTGCTTCATTAATGGTACTCAAAATTGATTTTACGTATAGAACATAAATCTGTGGTTATGATTTCTTTCTTGTTCTTCTGAATATGGTTATTTTGCTGCTCTTATTTTCCTCTAACAGTTTGCTAATGTACACTTGAGTTTGATTACTCTTATTAAAGGGTAGATATTCTTCGAATTCTATCTTGTAATTACTTTTGGTTTTAATAAGATATTTATTTTTGTCTTTAACTTTTAATGAATATCTAATACAAATCCCACGTTAGATATGTTACCGAGAGTGGCTGCTTGGGTGCTATAATTAGGTCACACCTTTTGAATAAGGTTGAGTCATTTCAGATTCTGCTGAAAATCAAGCAATTTCCTAATCGAATTTAGAGTTTCAAGTATTCTATCAAAACTAGGAACAAGCATGATTGGGCCGAGAGAACTTCAATATTACCGCCATCTGAAACTCATTTTGTTTTTCATTCCATATCTATTTGCATAATCAAATCGATATACCTTTGCAAAGGCTCAGTTGCGTTCTGCTTAATAAATACTGTATTCGGCTTCCATTGGTTTGTGATTGAAACTCATTATGTGGCTGTGACTTATATTATTGATATAGGCACCCCATATGTATTTGATTAGTCAAAATGCTAAAAAAAATCATTTTTTAAGTATGGGGTGTCATATCCGTAGAATTTGTAGAATGGCAGATCAATGCTGCCAAGATTTACTAAAATTTAGCAAGAAATTTTGGGATTGTTTGTGCACTGTTTTTTGAAATTCTATTTCATTTATTACCATCAGCCGTGAAGATGACTGTTGTTTATGACTTTGATTTTGATTGTTTCTTCTAATATATTTTAGGGGCATTTATGCACGTGCCACCCAATTCCTAGGCGAAGAAAAACATCCTTTTGGGGGGGGGGGGGGGAGGCATCTCCATTATTCATACGGAAGAGAATAAAAACAAATGAAGGAGTTTCTAAAGTTGTTTTCCAATTCAATCGTCCGGGATCCTTGTCGGTGGTCTGCCGTTCCCACCTTCCTGAATTTTCACACTGTATTTACATATCTTAACACCTTATGATTACTTTTTGCATTTTTAAAACCCAAATCTTTCATTACACATCAAAGTAGCATCATTTTTACTTTTAAAAAGTGACGTGCACCTTTTCATGCTTAGGTAAGGTGTTAAATATGTAAATACGTAGGAATTGAGTGATATTTATGTAATTCTTCCAATATTTTAACCATCAAAATGTTCACCATCCTGATGTTAGGCCAATCTCAGGACTTCTTGAGTTGCAATCTTATGGAGTTTGATTCACGATATGATTAGTTTTGGTGGGATTCGTGATCATGAGATAATCTGTAACTTGATGGGAAGAAGGCTTGTGGAATTCAGCACAATTTTGGATTGGGATGATGGATTAAATGTGCAACTTAGGATTTGTTAGTCCTTTTAGAGTGACTTTTTGTAGGATTTCATATTTCCATACCGGACCTGAAGAGTATCATGAACCAAACAAAACCTTACGAAATTAGCAAACCAAACCCCCAACATTTGTTAATTGCGTAAGATGACGCCCAAGAAAATGGTGAACCAAATAGCAGCTAACGGCTACATTTTCTATCAAAAATTGATTCAATGCTGCTTAATTATGTGGTAAATGATCATGCCATCCTTTGCAGGCCCAAACAATGGAGATGATGTACAGCATTGTCGCGCAGCAACTCAAAAGCATGGAACTTGAAGCTCACCCACAAGATTACCTGAATTTCTACTGTCTTGGTAACCGAGAAGAACTGCCAAAAAGTAGGGAGCAG